CAGAACCGGCACCAGAACCAGCACCGGCACCGCAAACAGAACCAGAACCAGAACCGGAACCAGAACCGGCACCAGAACCAGCACCGGCACCGCAAACAGAACCAGAACCAGAACCGGAACCAGAACCAGCACCAGAACCGGCACCAGAACCAGCACCAGAACCGGAACCAGAACCAGCACCAGAACCAGTACCAGCACCAGAACCAGAACCGGAACCAGAACCGGCACCAGAACCAGCACCAGAACCGGAACCAGAACCAGAACTGGCACCGCAAACAGAACCAGAACCAGCACCAGAACCAGCACCAGAACCAGAACCACCAGCAGAACCGGCACCACAAACGGCACCAGCACCAGAACCAGCACCAGAACTAGAACCGGCACCGCAAACAGCACCAGAACCAGAACCGGAACCAGAACCAGCACCAGCACCACAAGCAGAACCGGCACCGCAAACAGCACCAGAACCAGCACCAGCAGCAGAACCGGCACCGCAAACAGCACCAACAGCAGAACCAGCACCAGCGCCACAACCAGAACCACCAGCAGAACTGGCACCACAACCAGCACCAGAACCACAACCAGCACCAGCACCACAACCAGCAGCACAACCAGCACCACCAGCAGAATCTGCACCAACAGCAGAACCAGCAGAACAACCACCAGCACAACCACCAGCAGAACCATCACAACCAGAACCACAACCACCAGCAGAACCAGCACCAGCACCAGCCTGTCACACCCTGTCACACCGTCACTCCTGTCACACCTCTGTCACTCCTGTCACAGCCCCTGTCACCCCCTGTCACCCCCATCACCCTCTGTCACCCCTGTCACCCCCATCACCCTCTGTGTCACCCCCTGTCACCCCTGTCACCTACCCTGCTGCCCTCCTGCCGCCCCTCCGTGCGCTGGGACGCTTTCACCTTGTCCCACGTGTCCTTCCAGCGCTCCGGGACCTGCCCCAGCTCCATCTCCAGGTTGTGCAGCTCCTGTGGGGAGGATTCCGGCATCAGCCCCGGAGGGGACAAAGCCTCTGGGGCCACCGTCCCTGTCCTGGGACCACCATCCCTGTCCTGGGGCCACCGTCCCTGTCCTGGGGCCACCATCCCTCTCCTGGGGCCACCATCCCTGTCCCAGGGCCGCTGTCCTGTGTGGGGGCTCTGCTGGGTGCCATCCCAGTTCCATCCCAGTTCCATCCCCGGTTCCATCCCCAGTTCCATCCTGGTCCCATCCCTGGTTCCAGCCTGGTTCCATCCCAGTTCCATCCCGGTTCCATCCCCAGTTCCATCCCAGTTCCATCCTGGTCCCATCCCCCATTCCATCCCAGTGCCATTCCAGTTCCATCCCCGTTTCCATCCCGGTTCCATCCCCAGTTCCATCCCAGTTCCATCCCAGTTCCATCCCCCATTCCATCCCAGTGCCATTCCGGTTCCATCCCGGTTCCATCCCGGTTCCATCCCCAGTTCCATCCCAGTTCCATCCCCAGTTCCATCCCGGGTTCCATCCCGGGTTCCATCCCGGTTCTATCCCGGTTCCAGCCTGGTTCCACCCCTGTTTCCATCCTGGTTCCAGCCCAGTTCCATCCCCAGTTCCATCCCCAGTTCCATCCCCAGTTCCATCCCAGTTCCATCCCCAGTTCCATCCCAGTTCCACCCCCGGTTCCAGCCCGGTCCCATCCCCGGTTCCACTTTGGTTCCATCCCGGTTCCAGCCTGGTTCCACCCCTGTTTCCATCCTGGTTCCATCCTGGTCCCATCCCTGGTCCCATCCCGGGTTCCATCCCCAGTTCCATCCCAGTTCCATCCTGGTTCCATCCCTGGTTCCCTCCCCAGTTCCATCCCAGTTCCATCCCGGTTCCATCCCAGTTCCATCCCTGGTTC